AACATAACAGCTTAAAAGTGACATTTTACACTTTTTGTCAATTGTGGCATCCAACATTTCTTAAAAGTGGCATTTGTATTGAAAAACCATTCCAAAAGTCTTGAAACCATAAGCAATTGAGCTTATTTCACGATAACAACGTCAGACAAAATTTTTTTGACGTTGTGACTAAGTTAGTTTTTGTCTCATGTCATGTTATGTTTACCGGAACCCATAGCCATCAATATCTAACAAGAATTTATAAGAGTACATGAACATGCCGAATGATTATTCATAGTGAGTAAACTCAACGAACAAAGAGATTGTTTGTGAAAAACAATGAGTTTGAGATTTCTGATTTTAACAATGATAATATTAGACTTCAACAAAATATCGCCAACTTCCAAAATCCACAAGACGTGGATTGTATTTCTTTTCAAAACCTGAGCCGAAGCTAAGTGACATCATATGTCTCAATCATATGACTCAATAGAAATTCGATTTCATTGCCCAAATATTTTGACAATGGAGTTTTCAAAAACCTTTACGTTATATGGAATATTCTTTTTTTGCTGCAAAAGTGCATTGTGCAGTTTTGCAGCCGAGCTTCCATCTAAGAATAAGGAGGCTCTTTCTTCATTTCACTACATTTTGTTGTATGTATAGACAAGATATGGCATTGCTAGATTTATAGTAGTTATAAAAGATTATACCTTGTACAAACACTTGAAGGTGTGAATTTTGTGATTGAAGATTTACTGTCCAGCATTGAATTTTCAAAGAAGCGGACTACACCCGTTGGAGAAAATAACAAAGTGCGCAGTTAGAATCCAAATTATAAGTTGAATTTTTTTGTTGTAGAATGAGGTCTCACTGTCGCGACATATGCATGTTCTTTGATTTCTTCTTCTCCTCATGTAACCTTGACTTCGCTCTTCCACCTATTTTTTATATGTAGTGAAACTTACTACCAAATACTAATACAAATTTGATCTTCGTGCGATCCACGAACTCATAGTTGAACCTATTAGAATAGAATCATAAGTTGATCATGTTTTACTTCAAATTATATCCATAATTGGCTCAAAATAGGAATTATATTTCCAGTCATTTACAATATAGTGACTGCAATGTTGTCTAATTCTTTGCTTTGTTAAGATAAGCACACAAACATTGGTCATTATAACTTCTAGAAAGTGCAAATTCACTCAATCCAACATAATAATTTACTAACACATACCAATTTGTGTATTAGTGCATAAAATAAATTGATTTCTGGTTAAAATTCAATTCATTGAGTGTGATAGTAAGATCAAGAAGAATTAAACATAACATCTCAATTCAATTATAAGAATCTAATCAATTTTTGTTTCAAACTTTGTGTCACAAATTGAAATTTGATCATTTTGGTAGTATCAACGTATTACATCTTTGTATCGAGATAATCAAAAATAAAACATTAAAAACGTCATAATGTTGTGTTTGCATGATGTCGTCCAGAAACAAACTATGCAAGTTTGTTTGTCAATTGCTTTTCTACCATTCACTACCAAATAATCGGATTTGATCTAATATATATTTGCATCAAATAAAAAAATTTGTTCCAAGACATACATTAAAAATTTTCAATTTTACAAATTGGATGGAATCTCGTTTATTGATTAATTTGATCAAATTCCATGCATTGTTGAAAAATGTCTTTTTGTTATGATTTTGAAATGTCGTCTTCATCATATGTTCATTTTTTGACGTGTTCAACAATTCTTTGTGATTTTTTCATCAAATCAATATACTTCAGTGATCATTATTTTTTGATTTGCGTTTGAACCGATCCAAAACTTCACGGATAAATATTTATGTGAGCAATTCAACGATGTCGGCTGTCATAATTGGCAACGCTTCAAGTTCACAAGCATTGTTGTTTGAATTGCGCTCTAGCTAAATCATGGATGCTTGGGTAACAATTGATAAAGCAAAATGACCTTGATAATGTTATTTTTAGTAGTGTGATTTATTTTTAATAATGAATATCGCGTCCAAAAATTTTGATCATCAATATGATCACGATCACATCAAACAAAATAAACTTGTCGTTGTTGAACATCATTGAACCAAATCTTAATACATTTACATCATTGAATATGCCGTCTTGTTTTGAGTAGATACCGATTCTGCATATATTTGTCATCAATTTGTCGAGTTCAATACGTTGCTACAAGTTGATAATGTTGCGCGTCTGCAATGTCTTGAATGTGATTTGAATCATTGGAAAATACGGATTTAGGTACGCAACAATGATTCATCATTTATTGGATGGCGCTTGCACGGATAGTTTTTACTCAATGTATTGACAAATTCACGGCAATTTTGTAAAATCCATTTGAATAGATTACCAAATATGATACATCGCGTTGTCTCTTTGGAACATTTTGATCTTCTCATGTTGTTGATCAGATTGATTTGCAAACGTATGAAAATTGAAAATGCATGAATTGTCTTGTAAAAATTGCCACTTTCAACGTCGTTGATTGTTTGCTTGACAACATGATCCAACTAGCTAGTATGGCATCAAATAGGAAGAACTTTGTTTGAACACGTCCTCATGAACCGTATGACAACTACTCCAATTTGTTCTGTCATCGTGTTTTTGCCATTAGAGTCGATATAGATGACTTTATCCATCTAAATTGGGCGATGCATGTTCAACAGCATGCCGATTAACTCCATGTAGTTCACCCTACTACGACAATTTCAGAACCGCATTAGTAATACATGAAGATTCATTTACACACTGTCAAAATACACTTGAATTTGATGATCCAACATCGATATTCTTGATGCGTTGAACAATCAGTGGCCAACAAAAACGTCTACACAGACAAATTGCACAGCACTATCAAAAATAGTTGTAATGAAACCGCAAGCATGATACTAATTATTTCAACTTGTTTCGCATTCTTGGTACAAATGCAATGTTGGGTAATGACAGTATATATGTATCTAAACAACACATCCGCTTTTTTGTGATCAATTTCTTGTGATTAAAATTGTAACGAGTTTTTGATTGGGATGATATACTTAACTACTTCCTCGTTGATATCAGTTTGAACAGCTTCATAGCATTTGATTCAAGATCGGTTTCATTTTGACTTGAAGAACAAATTGCCAACGACATCATCAAATATTTTCAAGTTGGATATCTTGAAAGTGACAAATTCCGATTTGTCATTTGTATATGAATGTATCCCGCTGTTTAGTTTTTCATCAAAATATTTCTTTTTTTCCTTGAAAGACAATTGCGGATATGTTGTCCAATCGTTTCCATCTTGCGTCTCATGATTTTTTTTATATAGCTTGGGTCAAAACGGCTATATAATAATTGAATGTTTTCAGTGCACTTTTGCTTCACGCCAGCATCTTACCGACTCTCTCTTCCATTGAAAATGCGAAACTGACATTGAACAGTTTCCACTTTCTTGGCGCAGTCAAAATATTTTGCAAATTGAATCCGTATTAAACCTTATGTACTTTACCATTTGTTGGTACGTGTAGCAATTCTACACACATCGCAATCGCCCTTAGTAAAGACTCAATTGCAAGTAGAGAATCACTATACCCTATATATAATCTCTGAAATCGGTTGTATTTGATCTTTGAAAGTGTTCCGATACGGGATTGCTGATGACATCGAACTGTTGAGATCTCAACCTTTATAAAACACACTTCAAGATGAATATAGATTAAGCAGATATATTATACATGTTTACATATTAGAATTCGAAAGATACAAGGATTAAAAAATTCAAACTATTTATGTGTACAAACTCAACGCGAAGCACGAACAAACGTGGATATTCACCTACTCAAACAGGAAACGATGGGAACTTATTAATACACAATTTCTTCATTGCTAGTGAAGGAAAAAGCCGGAAAAGAAAGACTGTTTTGAAGTCTATCTTCTCCAGCTGTTTCCTTCACTCGCAATGAAGGAAGGCAATGTTTCCATAGCCAGTTGACATCCACCTACTTGCTCTAGGCTTGTACCCTTAATCTCAGGTGCACAATACGCCCAGAGAATTCATGAATGTAGTGTCATGAGATATTTACAATCGCATCTACTCCACACGTAGTGTCATGAACATATGTTTAGTCAAGAAGTCCTTTCTAGCTTTTAGGGTTTAATTTGACGATTGTAGTCAGTTGGAGTCGCAAAGATTCCACCGGCCTTTGAGACCAAAAAGAGTAAGCAAAACTCACATAATCATCGTCAATGACACCAAGATTTATCTTCAAACCTGGTAGTAGTTCATTCGACACGTCACACACGAAAGATCAGCCAGCTCCGGGTCTAAAGGATCAAATAATCATAGACAAGCAACCAGGACAAGAGGAAACTTAGCAAGAAACTATACAAGACTGTCAAGAAGAAATATCTATTGATGCGAGATGAGCGATCGAGAGAGGGGGAGAGACAATCAACACGACATCAAACAGTTTGCGTGTATAAGAACACATACGTCGCAATTTTTCCTGGGTGGCCTCGAAATTCGAAAATTACATGTTTCGATTCGCGACTGTTGTTCTCATCGAAAGTTGAAACTTGTTGGCGTTGAAATTTGAGACACGTAATAATTACGCGTCTCAACTTTCAACGGACTTGAAACCTTGCACTAGTTTTTCTTGCACTTCGTAAACATTACGCAGTGCGTGCGAAGTTTTCAAGTTTTACGCCGGAAAGCCGAAATTCCAATCATCGTGGCATCGATCCAATTTTAATTGTGGCAAAGGTGGCATTTATTAATAAAATGCCACTTTTATGAGGTCTGGGTTATCATTCTAGCTCAGTACATTCTTTTCATACAAAGTCACTCACTAAATTAGATAATTGGAACGCAGCCTCTGTGGGGACAATGCAAGGTAAAACAGATAAGCTGACTTCCATGTGCTCCAGATCTATTGCAAAATTCCAGGTTTGTAAAAGCACACAACCTTGAGAAATCCTGACGTAGAACGAAAATGTGTGAAATGTAACTCCTGTATTTGATATCCACAAAACCATAATAATATACAAAAGAAGGTTATGCTAATTTGACTTTCGTGCGTACATGCTCCTTAAATATCTGTCTACTATCTGCAGACACTACAACCTATTGCTACAATGACCTACTGAAGGTCATCAAGGTCAATCATACAGAACGCTCTCATGATTTGGAAGCGTTAAGAGTAAGTGGTTGAGCCTTGTATAATTCCATTAGATCTTTGATGACATCTGCCAAATAATCTCACCGGTTCCAACCATCAGCAAGGGTCTGTTGAGAGATAAAAGAAGTGTCCTGATTGGGCGCCTCCATACCCCTTCCCAATCTTCTTTCATAGTCTCCTTTATAGATGTGGTGGAGTGCCCGTTTAGATGAATCGTCAATGACGTTGATGCATGTAACTTTGTATTGTAGGGTCTGCGAGGTGATAAAAAGATGAATTGAACATCGAGTATGTTGATCCAATAGACTCATAAAGAAACTGTTGACAATATCGAGATTTGAAGCATTACCATGCTACGAATGATCATGGGCATTATTTAGGTCCATCTCCACCTGTCGTATTGTCCACTGAATACCCTCCAGTTTCTGTAAAAAGCAGTTTAAGAATTGAGAAACCCATGCTGATGGTAGTGCTCCGCGCTACTACCAAAAATGAGGAGATAACTTCGAGTAAAGCATCTACAATAAGCTTCATCTGGTTTTGATTTTGTTCGGGAGAACGAAGAATGATGAAGAGAGTAGACTTGAGTATACTCACAGTGATTAAATCGTGGTAACGACGAGCTATGTCATCAAAATACTGATCCACTCCTTGATACTCACGCAATCTCGTAACCTAAGATAAAGACACAAATTCCACGTTATTAGAACCCATTAAAGAGTCATTAGACATGGCAAAGAATAATAAAAATAAAGACTGGTCACTTACTGCTCTGTTGTAAGCTGCAGTTGCCTCTTCATTCGCTTCCACCAGGTAGCTCCTGATTGAATGATGACAAAATGCAATTAATTTTGGAAAAATAGTTTCCACATAGAATAAAAATAAAATTCTTTATTTTTATATATTATATATACAAAATAAAGTCATTGGAAACGTGATCAGCAGAAGATTCGTCAGCTGAACAATGAATGTATTTTTTGAAAGTCAGGAGGTATTAAAACATACTAATCTTCACCTGATTTTATGAAGAGCAGGGATGGAATCTTGTGTGTAAGTATCTCTTAAAAGAAGATGCTCCAACACTCTGCAACCGAAGCATGTGCAATCTAAGTTTCCAACAATAGCACAAACGCCTGATTCCAGCATAAATGACATGAAAACTAAGGAGAGTAAAAGCTCAAATCTCACGTAGATCAAAGCTGAGTTTACGTAGGTCAGCACTCGAATAACAACGAAGAGTTTCTACTGCAGGAGGGCCTAGATATGAATTAAATTCCAGCTATCGGACTGAAAGAGCAAAAGTCACTACATCATAAAAAGCAGCAAGAGTGATCCTGAGTCAAACTGGCGAAACCACACCCAAAATTTCTTTTTCAAGAAAATATTGTGAGTCTACCCATCATAGAATTTTTCAGTCGACCACTCATGTTTGTCAACCACTAGCCACTAGAACAGCATGACTTTCAAACCTATATGCTAAAATAATCGGTTGTAAATGACCGACTAGTTGAGCAGCGCAGATTGATCAAATTGAAAGAAAGAAGGGCTCTTTTCAAGAGATATACTAGATACCCAAATTCTAAGCATTACAATACGAAATGTGATACGTCTCGTTAAGAAATGCGTACCTCAACTTCGTATTCATGGTCTGACATCTTTTGCAAAGCCATGCTTTCCTCATTCCATCCTGCAACACGAGAACCAAAAGTCTTTAGATCTTTAGGCTGTGAATCATTCTACGATTACATCTTACTCGTAGCTCTTCGAAGAGCTCCTAACATCCGTCCCGATGGCAGTTCCCTTGATACGTCTTTTCAGCTAAACCTCGGACTTTCTGAGCCAAACTTCACGAAACTCGAACACTAGGGATCTTCAAGCACTACGGTACTCAACACACGGTACTGAGAAACATTAATGGACCAAAGCTCTTCTTCTATTTATTAACTTTGAAAACTCTCTGACAGTGCTAACCGTTTTTACATGCACGTAGTATGAAAGACATGAGGGGGTAGATGGCGTTCTGTTTTGCATTAAAACTATATCACAACAAAATAGAGAACTAGAACACCGAGAGAGAACACTCATATAAACACATGACACTACATTTCACATACATTTTAGTAGCTCTACTCTCTTAGAGGGTAGAAAGCACCATACATATTGAAATTGATGAGTTAATTTGAAATCTTTCACCAGTCTTAATAAAACCCCAAGAATCTGCTCCAAGACCTGTGTCAACAAAAACGAACGTGAGAACCTTCGGAGAATGAAGGACCAATGCCCTTCTTGGCCCTGCTTTCTTCCTGATGTTTAGCAGCACCTGAAGCTACAGATCAAACATGTGATATACTTTGTAAATAAAAGACAAGTAAGACGTTTCAGAGTTTTTCTCCATCTACACGAATATCCTATGTTTCGTTATATGTTCCCTGGTGCACAATGAAGCTACAGCAAGAAAACAGCAGACAAAGCTTCTGGAATTCGAACCAATTTACTTCGAAGGGCCATTTATGCTTTACTACAGTACAAACAGCTTTCTAACTTCATTGTACACAATGCAAGTTGACAATCTCGCGGAAGCTTTTCCGTCACATGTATAGCTAGTAGATTAGATTGTGCCCTAATAAGACTTTCCCAGACTTACTGCAAATGCTATGCTTCTATCCATGACTGATCCGTCTGAGTTTCCTGGCCAGCGTACTTTTCATCAAAATTTTACAGCAAGTTTGATTTCGTACGTTATAGTATTCGGAAAACTTGCGGTCGGCTGAGAATAGATCCTCCAGCAAGGCCCACTCTTCGGCTTCAATCGTCTCTACTGATACTTTTACTCTGTAAAAGAGTTTGTTGAAATTCCAGACATTATTACAACACTCAACCGAACCAAGAAAGATATGAGTTGCCTCAGTCATCAAGAAAATAGCCTTCACAATATACGCAAGTTACAAAGCGTCTGAAAGATTCTACTCATTAAAGTGGATGATAGACAGGCACGACAGTGTAAATAGCATATGACTAACCTGTCTGTAAGTCGCGTGCTCTTTGACGGATGGAGATTCACTACAACATTCCAGAAAAACTTGTCAGACAACAGGGAAACCCACATATTGTGACTCAAAAGACTCCGTCATCATGTCAACTTTCATACTTTGCTTGAGATGATGTCACGTGACAAACTGAACTCTTCAATGTATTCCACATATGCCTGATGATCAAAAACCCTGCGCTCTGGTTGGACGGTGCTATTGAAATGGAGGAAGAAGAAGAAAAAGAAGATGAAGCGAAGGAACTAGGAGGACGAAAAGAGGGAGGACTCTTCGAGAATGAAGAGAATCTATTTCTATAGAAGGATCTGTCTCCATGGATGAGTATAGTTCGCGGTTTACTTATTCATCTTTGCCTGTCATCTGTCCTTGAGTCAAGGCAGAAACTACTGCTATCGGGGACACTTCGACATAGAACTCATGTATTCAACCTGCTTGATCAGCTTCTGAAACCGCAGCAAGCTTGTCGCACTTCGACCTTAGCCGGGATTCGATCTGAGGAATGAGAGCCATCTGATATACGGTACTATCCTGCACAAGCTCAAAAGCAAGGTCAGACATGGATCAACAAATTTGTACTTAGCGTCGGCAAATCTAGTAATCTCCTCATCTTCGAAGTACATGGTTGCATTCTATTTTAAATAGTTTAGTATATGCTCGGGACAGGTATCAAGCCCCAAGTTAGCAGATAGGAGACGTACCTCTGTGAACGGTGCATGCATTAGTTGACTTTGACGAAACCAAGTTGGAGTCAATCCCAACATCCTATGCACAGGTCCCCCTATGCCTGGATCTGCCAACTCCGATGGATTAGTTCCACCTAAGAAGAAAGTGCTTGGAGTAGTGGAGGATGTCATGATACTGGTAACGGTAGTATTTGTGCTGATGCTGGTAGTGCTACTGCTGTCAAAAGAACTGCGAGAGATGATACTCCACTTTTCCATATCCTCATCTGGCAACTCCCCATCTTTAGCGATAAGTGGCAATCTAAGGCGTTGGGCTGACTCCGCGATAACTAGTCTTTGTTCAAGAGCTTCATAAACCTGTGGTAACAACGACGGATTTGAAAACTTTGTCAGTTCAAGCCAAAGTTTTCAGAACGCTTGCATACTTGTTCATGACGAGTGGCTTAGAACTGAACACTTTCACAAACTCGATCTAAGCAAGGAGCAGAACGCAAAGAAGCGAATGGAAGTCACTGACAATAAAACTAGGAGCACAAAGAAGATCAACAACCATCAAGAGTCTAACTTCTGGCACTTCCTTCAAAGAAGATGTGCCAGAAGACTAGTTAGTCTCCTGGGGGGGGATCGGGGGCATGAGGGAACGCCCTAATAAGTCTCAGAAAGGGGAGATGATGCTACTTCCATAATAAGATAAAGCTACAAGTAAATTGAATTCGTGTCATGTGCATAGTATCAAATTAACGGTGCACTAATGTTTTAGACTGGAATTTAGTGAAGACAAGAGAAAGTTAAGTTGACAAGGACTTCCTTATCCATGTTGTGTATGATAACGAGGACTTGATGGCAGCTCGTTACCTGAGGTGCGCAGCGTAGACCAAGTTGGCCGAAGACTGCCTGCAAGTCCCGGATACCTCCTGCGTTTGCAACGGACACAGCTTGGTGGTATTCCTCGACTAAGGCCACTGCCTCACAGTAAAGAGCCTGAGTAAACCAAACATAAGAATCATTGAAGATGATTAGCTTGTGTCAAGCTCGTTAAGAAGGTCATTATACTCAGCTATGAGGTTAATCTAAAAGAGTGAACACTCTCGAATGAATGGGTCGGTGATGCCCAAATTTATGTCCCTGTTCAGGATGTTCTGACAATCATAGGGTACTAAACTCTGAACTTCCTCTCAAGTTGTTTTCAGGTTCATTCTACGATGCCTAACTACAAGGGCTTGGTTTGATGGTGCAGACACCCATCACCATGCAGAAGAGTAGGAAACAATAGACCGACCATTGCTTCAAAGTACCGAAGTCTTTCTTTCGCCATCTCTTCTCGTGCCTGCGTGTTCTCTCCAAGCCACCACCACAGCGCGTGAATGAAAGAATTTTCCTAAGAAGTTCCATACGCACGAAAACAAGTGAAATGAAAGCGATTGCTGTAAATTATAGACCAGTCTACTACAATGACTTATTTGGACACAGGAAATAGTCGTAGAAGCAATTAAGGGTATAGCAGTCGGAAAACACAGATAATACCACTGAGATCACCCATTTTGATGACTACGACTCATAAGTAGTGCGATCAGAGTGGACTCGTATAGTAAGCTCATATATCAGTTAATCAAAGTGATTTTAATAGCAATTCTGCTTCGCAAATTTTACTAATTAACAAATGAGAAATATCCAAATGAAAGTTTAATTTAGACATCGCAGTCTATCCATCTGATATATACTTCATTGAGAGCAAGTCCCAGTTAATGGCGAGGACTCTTACCAGAAGGAGGTCCTGATAGGTGGAATTGACGAGTAATGACCCATCAGGCGCTAGACAATGTCTCTCTAGTAGATCGAGGACATGTATCAGCCCTGGACTATGAGCTTGACCTGCAGGAGGCAGAAGCATTGCTCGTACCATGTCTGATCGCCCTGCTCTCCTCAAGAAAGTAACAGGGTAATATGCTTTTATGGCTATTTAGTCCTCCAATCTCAAAAGCAGGGTGTCCTGTGATATCACTCCTGAGTTCCTGATTACAACCAGGGCAGCAAATTGTACTGTAAATTTATGTTCACAACAGCGGCTGGCCTGCCTGATGAAATACAAGACAAGCAAAACTCGAAGACAGATAAGGCTCTATTTCACAATTGCTTTCAGACTTCACTATCTTAACCCTCACGGAGACAGCTTACAAATAAACCAGTTGCGAGCCAGAAGGAGGAATTAAAAGCTGGTGCAACGACACTGTATCCACAATTCGGCACTGCATCCACGACGCATCTCACACCGACTAGGAAAATGCTCTGCAAGCTAATCTTAAACTAGGGGATTAATCCAACAAAGGTCAGCAAACTAGTACTCAATCTCCGATACACAGAGAAGAAAATGCCGCGACAACATTCAAATTCGACTTCCAAAATACAATGTAGCACACTACGTGCGTTAGCTTCATCCATCAGAGAAGACGAGAAAAAGGAAACCTAGTGCACAATGCCGTGTCAGCCGGACGAGCTGTGCAACAAAAGACGAGAAGTCTTTGACCTGACATCCAGAATCTACTCACATTCTGGAGTTTAAAGATTTAAAAGTAGCTCAAAACTGACACACATATTCTTCGCGATAGGGGAAAAATTCCTCGTACCTCTACTTCTTGTTCTCGTTCGTTTCCCCTTTTGAGAAACACTTCTGAACTGCAAATTCGAAGGGATCTTGCAATTCGCATTTAAGAAAAGCACCGATTTCTCTGCCCGGACTGACAGATCGAGAATGCCGCTGAACGATGAATGCCGCTCTTCCCCAGCACGGCGGGCCGACCGGATCAGCGCGGGAACTACAAACGAAGGACCGGTACAAGCCTGTGACCAAGAGTCTGGGGATTCTCCTTCCCGAGAAATAGTACTCGGATCCAGCGCGAGTAAATTGTCTTGCCTGCCTTGAATCGATACATACCCTTCGGGCAAGAGTTTAATCTTTCGGGAGAAACTCGGTAATCACGTGTAAAATTGTAGAGACGCCCGGTCGATGAAGAGAACCGTAGTAGAAAAGCGGCAGGTGTCCATGAGATATTGGAAACATAGGCGCTCTTTTCCCTGTCGACCCGGTGAAAGGTGACCGGGAAGTGAAGGAGGCCTAAAGAACAAGGACCGACCGGCCACAAGCAGGATCTTCAGTCTGCCGACCGGTGACAGGCGGTAAAACGAAACAGCCTGAGTTGTAAGTGAGTTGTGAAGATACAATTGAATATCAAGAATTGCATGGAACATGATTTGTTGGTTCCTGAATTGCAAGGAATGCTTCGAAATTGGAGTCAAGCGTTTTTCACCACAAGTGTTATCTTATTTCTTATATCTTGGCTCGTATGAATTACTACGCTAGTATTGTAGTAGCTGGAATTCATGTTTAAATATATTTGACTCTTCGGTTGATTGATGTGATTAAAATACTATATCCATACTTTAGTGACCATAACAACCCAAAGATCTCAACAGTTCTACCGGATTATCTACGAATGTCATCCAGTTCAACGATATAAAGTGATTTTTTTCTTTAGGAACTTTTCTGGCTTTTCACTCTTCTATCATTTGCATATCGCAATTCCACCCAAATCATTTTTCTTAAAATCGTAGCTTGACCTAAAAGCTCAACCTAAAAGACATCAAAAGTACATGTATGCCCTCAACTCCTCCTCCTTAGCTCTAAGATTCTACATCATCACAAGCATTAGTTACTTCCTAGTTGTACTTGTCCTCGCCAATAATCGAAACCAGCCGTGGCTAGAAAGCTCGATGGACATTGGAAAGATGATATCCCACATGGTTATGAAACTACATCTCGCCCAGAGTTGGGAAACTGTATTTTCCCAACTTTTCACCAATCATACCTCTTTTTTTATCACTTTTTGGACAACAATGAAACTGATTGAAAAGTCAGGTCACGCAATAAGATGTAGATGATAATAACACACCGCTTTGAATACTATAGGACCTCGTCATTGCGGCTATTGGAGAAGATTCTCTTGGTGGTATTATAGAGATATATATCGTAGCACTATGATCACACGTCCCTTCTTTCCTTCGTGTATTGTCGCCAGCAAGTTTACAACGCAATAATTACAGGGGATGATGATATATTCCGTTTACTGCATCACCTCAATTATTTTCTATGTGAGGATTTATTTTGAGAAACAAATGAATTCTACGCATGTCTTGAAGGAAAATCGAGGTTAATATAAAGCAAGAATGTCAAACCTTGAATAAATCTGATGGTCAGGATATTATGGTATGTACATCTAGCCTGAGTAGTTTCATGGATATGTCAGTTGTGATGAAGAAAACATTTCCAGTTTTCTCTTAGAATACGGTTCAGTCATATTCTAAGACTGAACAGTAGCACTATACATTCTATTTTGACCAATCATCCCATATCACATCACTTTCTGCAGCGGTGCAAATGAACTTCATTACAGATAATTCAGACCTCCCAAATATCCTAACTCTTCTAATATATATGTTCGTCTTCGTTTCAGTCTAAATACCACTCAAGGCCGATTCAAAAAAATGGAAGGCAACACTCATACACGTCACCAATACAAGGTACACATCATCTTTCGTCCATGTAATTGTTTTCCATCTCTATTGTTATCTCCATGTTTCCATCCTTATTTCCCTGTATAATCCATTTCGTACTTCAAGTTTTGATGCAATGATTTCCCATCTTCAATGTCACAAGTCAATTACAGGAATTCAATAAGTAGCTAGATCGTTGGGGAGAATCCGCACAAGTTAAAGTGTCTTAATTTACTTGATATTTAGAGTTGCCTGGCTGGAACAAATCACGTAGTATCTTGGTAGTGTGTCTCATAAGGAATGTATAACTTTTGTTTGCTTTGGAATCATTCGGCCTTGTAACATTAAAGGATAAAATACTCCCAAAATAAAATTCCAACATGAGTGCAAGAAATATAAGCAAGCGGTTGGGTTAGAGCAATTTCAAAAGTTTCAGAAAGTAATCACTGTTTTAAGGTCCAACTTATATCCATTTTTAATTATTTTTTTAGGTTTGATTCAAATTACTCAATTTAAAATCTTTCAATATCTTGCATAAAGGTGTAAGTTGCGAATTTACTTTTTTGTGAATATGTAACGGTTTGGCACATTCATAGTTCTATCTTAAATTTGATGGTAAACAGTGTGAATTATTGTGAATATTTAGTGTGTAAAAAACGTTAGAAATTGTTGACAAACATAACAACGCATCTTAATTGCGTCTATATTTAACTCAAAAATTTCAGTAAGTGAATATAAAGAAAAAAAATATAAAGCAAATCAATTCAATTTCTCAATATATTATAATCTTACTAAAAATTCATCTCTAACATTATATCTAATAAAATCAACCATATATATCGCATCATTTATTTTAATTTTTGAAAAAATAAAAAATATTATGAAATTTACTCATAATTAAAAATAATAAGATATTTATTTATTTTTTGGAAAAAAATATGAAATAAGATGAAGTTATAAATCTGTTGATTTCATCGATAAATTATCAATAAACTAATAAGTAAAAAAAATTCAAGATTGATAAAATTTCATGTCATACATTACTATATGACATCGCATATAATCATATGTTACATATATGATATCAACATTGTATCAAAAATTTAATCATATAATAATTAATGAATTTATCAATTAAAATAAATCATTTCACAATAAAAATATTGATATAAATTTTTAAAATTATATAAAATGAACATTTTTCAATCACAATGAAACATACTGTTTTTTATATAATATTTTTATATTTTCACCGGCTAAGTATACACATCAATGACTTGAAGTTTTGCACCTTGTCCACACCAACAATAATTTTAAAATCAGTAATTTTAAAATCACGAATGTCAATACTTTCCTGGCATTTCTATGATCGCTTATTTTGATCTTGAAGCTAGTCTAAAAGATATATTGGGTTGTTGAAGGAGTATATTTCTTGTTGTTGTGCTTTTTAAGAAACGGTCTTGATGACGGAGAATGAGTTCGTAAGCTCTACCAACGCTTTGATCTCAACAGGTTCTCATTCACATTCGATCGTTTCAATATAAAGGTGGAAATTGCTGAATGTGGCAAGTTCATGACTACCAAGGACGATATTTGATACAGCGATGAAAATCTCGTGATATGTGATATGTGTGATCGGTTTTTACAATGTTTTAACATCATTTGATGGTTATCAAACGCATACGTCCAAACAGCATGCACCACAAATGAGAGAAAAGAAAGGTGGATTAACTTTCTTTTCTCTTGAAAATGTTAATTGCATCACTAAGAATAACGATCAATTTCCTTATCGTGAAATGTTAACTAATTATCGTAAAGCTAAAAAAAGTTAAGCAGGACGTGATTTATTTCAGAACGCAATTTTCCAACAATGAATACTGTTTAAAATTTAATATTATTGCAAATCATGTTACTTGCATTTCAATCGAAATATACCAAAAACATATCATCCTTTGAAATCGATAAATTCATGATGCTAATTTTTGAAATTCTTGCTTACAAGTTTTGATTTGTTCTATGTTTGTTAAATTATCAAATTTTTGCAATAAGAAAAGTTAAAATCAAATAAAATAGTTGAAAATATTATGGTTAATTGACGAATTTTTTCACAATTTTAGATTTATTGGTATGAATGCCTTTAAATATGTGAATAATACTCGTATGAAGTTTTTTTGAATAGTATCATACATAATAGACTACTTGGATGTTTCTTCGTATTTTTTTCCCAAAAACTGTTAAATTCCAATATTTTAATCAATCTGAAGTCCTAGTTATATGCATCGTATCAATAGAGCCTAATTGGGAACTTTTAATTTTTTGATATATTGCATGAGCTCAATAATATCAAGATTACGAGGAAAAGAATAATGCTGATTAAGACAAGTGTTAAGAGATAACATCGATGTAGACAAAATTCTTCTATCCTTTTCAATGTAGTACTGTGATTAAAAATAAAGACACTTTCTTTTAGAACAAAATATTTGATTCTTCATGTTTGCAGGCAGTTATGATATAGAAAAATGTGTGAGTAAAAAATCAGATGGATGTTACAGTCAATAGGATGTTAAATTGAATCCCCAAATCATTTCAGTTCTCTCCCTCCCTTCGAAGAATGCGGTTATAAACTTTAAAATTATGACGACAAACTATCACCCGTCATTGAGACATTTCATGTTCGAAGGTTGTCTTGTGGGCATGACAGCAAACCAAACGAAGTGAGAGATATCTAGAAACAAATAAGTCTAAGATAGTCTACAACTCTCATAATAAATAAACTGGACAGAATCCGTTGGGGAATTCAAACAGCGTGGAACATTCCATCGTTTAGGACACGTTGGACGATCTCGTCTCCATTGGAAACGCTTTCTATTCATTACACAGAAAGCCAGACATTTACCGAAGAATGCGGTGAGTGTATGCCAGCTGGTGTCGCACGATGCAGGTGCTCGAAATCCCGCTCCTAACAATAAAGCAACAGAGAATATTTCATTTTATCTCATTGTTTTCTGCGATCAAACCCTTCTTGTCACATTCGGGTCACTTATTCCCATGCATTCCCAGGAACTACATTAAAATTTTTATTATCGTTAGTAATATTACAGTACAGTATTGGATATCTTACATTGCCTGCAATTACAGCACCTTTCTACCCTCCATTATACCGTGCATCAATGGCTGATGCCCTAAAGAACACTTGAAGCCCAGTAGAGGGTGAAAAAGTACAGTAGTCGGGGAAAATGACCAGCGTAGACATGAAAACAGAGTTTCAATTCCATGGTAATGATGTACATTTGGTTTGAGAAGAAACAGATTTCGTTGGAGATGAAAGATAGATAGTGAACGCGATCGAGAGAGAATAACCTGGGGCACCTCGTTGAGTTTTCAGCCTTTCAGAAACTGTTGAAGATAGATTCCAAATGTCTGACATCTTGTACCGAAGGTAACACTCTGCATGAGGGGACGATCTTACAATATCACGAGCACGAGCAATTAAATAAGAATGATCGTAGGTGTTATGAGCATACATTCCAAGTCAGCACATACACACACACACATGCTCCGCTGCAGGCGAGGCCGAGGTACAGGCCGAGGTGCGAGATCAAATGTCTGTGCGCCCGATCGAGAGCATTTATAGAGAGACGACGAGATTTGTCTCATTACCTGACCGGCAAGAGAAAGTCGGCGGCGGTGGTGGGAGTACGCTGGCAGAGAGGTAGAGATAGCGGAGAGCGCCGCGCTAGCCTCGGGTGACCGGCTGGGGCTAGGGAGAGCCAGTGGACGGTGCTTGTTTCATCGGCCGAACGAATGAATGCCTCGGAGAAGCCGGACTGCTGAATTAGTAGAGCGTTTAGCGTTAGCTGAGGCTTAGCTGAGACCTGAAATGCCACGTGGCGGCCACGACGTGGGCTCAGTTTTACGAGGAATGTTTGCCAAGAGTGACTCTCGAAGAGCAAGCCCAGGGCTCGTAACATTTAAATAACATGAGGACTGAGCCACTCCATGCTCGAAGGGCTGTACTAGCTTGATATGTGAGAGTGAAACAAGAAGTTCCCATCGAGTTCCGCAAGCTAACGCAATTGTTCTATAGTGATTAGATAGAAGGAAACGATTTTCATTCTCTGTTGTTGTGTACGTTTTCAGAGTCAATTATTCGTTTATTGATTCTATTATTATTATTATTAGTATTTTTATTGATATTATAAACGTAAGTTATATTAAACCTTGATATCGAAGGATTTTTCCTTTGTTCTCCCGTCAAGTATGAGGCTTCCATGCATAAGATAACTCCGACAAGTTCCGACACTGAGCCAGCACATCAACTTCGTTGGAATTTTGCCAATTCACCTTTCTGATAATCAGTCAGCAAAGTGTGAAAAACAAAGCACGGAAGTAAAACAACTCGAGAATCCATGACCGCAATCAAGTGGGAGGAAAGAACTCACCAATAGGAAGATATGGTGTGATATGTCTCACTGTTCAGAGTTCACATATGATCAAAACCCCAACTACTGAAATGCTTGTGGTTCAAACACATAGCCTCCTCTATTCACAGGGATATATAAGAATTAAGAAAATTGATTAGGACTTAATCAAATACATTTCGTTGTGAGTACAGTAAGCTGCTTGCACTCTACACCGACGGTATTCCAAAGTGCCAAGTTCATCGATTCGTACCACGATAACTGAAGAACACTGTAGAAAAGATACCTTCATGCAAAGCTATGCTGTGAGATGAATGACCACACAAGCATGGCCTTGCATAATTTTCAGGTCCTTACTTCGCTTTCTACTGCAGGGTGACTTCACAGCATCCGATTTTGTGGCGCTCCGTCGCCCCTACCGCCCGCCCGCCCGCCCGCCCGCCCCCATCTAAGACCTGGTCCTCGGACTGGCCCCTCAGGGAACATGGTTTCATTCATCGGAACCTTTTCACGAGACGAACTCCGGAAGAAATGATCGTGCGCACTTTTAACATGTCCTCATCAGCTTCGTCTTCATCTTCATCTTTCGGTGACCCGTAAACCGCTGCTCGTTGGACCCGAAGAGGAAGAGATCGCAGAGATGGGGAACGAGGAAAAGTGTTTTGTTTTGTCGAGAGAGAGAGAGAGAGAGAGAGAGAGAAAGGAGCGCAAAGTGATTCAGGGAGTTGTGCCTGGAGCATATGGGGGCAGTTGGAGGGGAAGATAGAGGGAGAGGGGGAGGGGGGTGGGGGAGAGAAGCCCCTCCGTCGCCCAGCGACTAGAGGGGGAAAGTGTGCGGACCATAACATGGGAAGGGGGCAAGGGGTAAGACCTGCACCGGGTGCGGCCGGAGTGCGGGGGGGTGGGGGTGGGGGTAGCAGAATTAGCGAGGCGAGGGGGGAGAGTGCTGGCGCCAGGGAGACTGTTTGTTGTGGGGAACAGTGGGCTGTGCCAGCGGTGCTTGCTGATGCCAGCGAGCGGCAGCGTTCACGAGGGACCGGGAGGGTCCCGGCGAGGGCGAGGCGAGGCCCGGCTCGCGCCGTCATCACGTCACGGTTCCATGGACTTCTTCGACGGCGACGGCCAATCGGAGTCTCGCGAGCCCGGGTCCCACAGCGCCAGGCCACCGGGCAGTCCCAGTAGTCTCCAGGCCCACTCCACGGCGTCGCGTACCGGAGACCGGAGCCTCGAGGCAGGTGGACCCGAGCCGAGCCGAGCCACCCGACGGCGTCGTCGCGGCAAATCAAGGGGCTTTGATTCGGCGACGGGTCCGGAGGAGCCAGGGCCACGGAATGCCAACGCCGTCCGGATCCGACTCACCGGATCGATCCGATCGACGGTGCGGACCTCGGCCAGGGGCTGGGCTGGGCTCGGCTCCGGTGGCAGTCAGGCGGTCAGCGGAGTGGATGCATTGCAGGTGACCAACTGCGGGAGAGAAAGATGGATGGATGGATGGAGCGCATGGATGGATGGCATGAGCGAGCTGGATCGTCTCCGCCCCCGTTGAAAGAGGTCCACTAGGCCCCGAGGGCGGACGAGAGTTGTGGATGGATGGGCGCTTCGTCACCCGCGCCAGCAGCACCCGCAACTCAAGGGGCTCGCGAGCTAGTCTCCGCAGCGGGGGAGTGCCTTCCATGTTGCGCTTCGCTACTTTAATATGCTCTCGGTGCCTCTGCTTTCCCCGCAGTGTAGGCCCGGAGGGGACCCTCGGCGCATGTGCTCTCGGTCCTCTGCTCGTACGAGTACTGTACGTCGTCGTATGCAGGTGCTCCCGTAACGTCTAGGCCATCGGGGCTAATGCCAAATGCTGGCCCCGAAGCCGACTTTCCTCTCCCGAGCCTGAGCCACCTTTTCGCGCGGTCGAGGGGAACTCGAGTGGGGGGCTGGGGGGGCTGGCTCGTTGCTGCCGGTGCTGGTGCTTGTGGCCTCGACGGCATTAGGTTCGCTCGGCCCGAGGTTGCGAGTCAGTCTCAGATTCGGAGGCTGCTCTCGGGTCTCACTTTGCAGAGCTTCTGAATCATTCTAGAAAGGGCCTAAGGCCATCATGAAATCCTTGATTGAAGACTACTCTCTCGCCCAGTGCTTGTACATGCGTGAGCAGCAGCAGGGGCAGGGGCAGGGCCACCAGAACTACCGCTTGCTGACGCTGGCTGGATCCTGGAGGACTGGCTCTCTCTCTTTCCACCGGCTGCTGCCCATCCGAAAGTAACCACGATTCTCTCCGGCGACTGGAAAGTCGACGCCGGGTCCTTCGCGTCGGTTTTCCCGTAGCCGTCGACGAGTCGCGAGGCCGGGGAAGGCCCTAGTTATTGTTTATTATGGCTAATTATTTTTCGTAGCCCGGGCAGCAAGAAAAAGGGGCTGCTTCGTAGGCAAATGGAGGGCACACAAGGTAACACACTGACCTGTTGGAGCAGGTCGCGCAGAAGGTCGAGACCGGTAAGAGGAGGTACCGAATGAAATGAATTCGTCCTGGGCAAGTACTTTCGAGCAGTGTTGAGAACGCGTCTGCCCCTTTCTGGTTACACCTCACCTGAGATGCAGGTCAGAAGGCCTGCCGGCGACCTGCTGTCGTCGTCACAGTGCGTGCCTGCCGATCGAGGTGGGGAAGGGCAGGGCAGGGCAGGGCTACGAGGACGGACGGAGGCTCGGCAGGCAGAGAGCAGAATAAAAGGGAATATTCGGGCTGCCTCGGCATTGGATTCACGAGCCACGCGAGCCCCCCTGGCAGGGATCCAGGCAGGAGGCAGGAGGAGGAGGAGGAGGAGGAGGGGGCTGGGCCAAAAACCTCTCCGTTATTTAATGGCATGCGTATGTATGCGCGAGAGTGGGGGGTGGGGATGGGCCAGCCAGGGGCAGGGGCAGGGCCAGCGCCAGCTACCTCAGCTCGCCTTTTTGTAGATCAGCGTTTTGTGTGGTGCAGTTAATATTTTTTGCCCCCCGGCATTCATTATTACATTACAGATTCGAACTCACTTGCGCCTCTGTGCTCAGTCGATGTCGAGCATATCTCTGCCCTCATTTTCGTGCCTTCGTGTGGTAGTGGCGTCGTCGTTCGTGGTCGGGACCGTGGAGTGGATGCTTCTTGCTGGTGCTGGTGCTGGTGGTGCGTGTAGAGGAACAGCAACAGCAGCAGCAGCGGCCAGGGAGTGAGCGAGCGAGCGAGGGCGAGGGGAGGGCAGGGGCAGGCGAGGGGCAGGCGAGGGGGCGAGTTTGAAATGTGGGCTAGAGTGCGGATCCCGGAGGCAGGTCTGACGACGACGAGGCACGGTGGTGGTAGAGGTCTTTGAGGCAGATCCGTCCGTGCAGCGCAGAAGTTGCGTGATCGCCCTCGGACGAGACGAGACGAGAGGAGACGAGAGGAGCACGAGGAATTATGTAAGTGCTACGGCGGGCGAAGGTTGGCTGCACGGGGGCGAGGCGGCTTTTAGGGGTGGAATGAATGCATGCCCTCCGTGTGCGAAGGCGGGGGGTGACTCACGGTGGTGCTGTTGATGCGGGGTGCCGGGCCAACATCCTCGAAGGACGACGACGACGACCGAGTGCCGGGATTCGGGACCCCTTCTTTCGGGACTTGGCGCGTGCTCGACGTGCTCGATCGAAGCATTAGTCGACTAGTCGGTTGGTTGCGTTGATGCCCGATTGGCGAGCACGGATTTGGATTTCTGGTCAAGCCTAGGCCGAGAGGCCTCAGAGATCAGGAGCAGGAGGGAGGTGGTGGAAGGCGAGGCGGACGAGGACTAGGAGGTGGTTTGATTGACATTTCCGCAAGTCGGGTTGGCCCTCGGACATTAGAAAGATGGGGAGTAGAATGAAAGAGGACGAGAAAAATGAGAGGAGTATAAGAGCTCTTCTCAAGCAGACTGAGAACCGAAGATGCATCAACTGTGGAAGCCTGGTTAGTGTCCAGCCTTCTCTTCGATACTCCCTAGCCGATTGAGCGTAGACGACCACAGTAACAAACTTCTTACTGCAATTTCGCGGTTCGATTTCTCGATGCATGCGACCTGAAAACGTTTTGGCTCATGGTATGGTCGGCGGTGAACATCGCCTCTCCGGAACGCTTTACCCGTTTCTACTGACCTGGCCAGGCCGGTCTGGGCCCGGAGCCCTTCTGCATGCTGGCCATCTCTATCGAACTGGGGGAAATTGCTTGACTCACATCGGGATGCCGCTCACCATCACGCTTGTAGTTACTTGGGATTTCTAGACATGGCTGCAAACAATGCATCTGGTTAGATCTAGTGCGTAGCCAATGTGCCACTGTACCATCAAGTATTTGAGGGCTGGCGTTAAAGTTATCTGCTGCGTAGATTTTTAATTTCCATCTTCTTCCCGGTCTCCTAACGACGTGGTCATGAAATTTTCAGGGTCCTCAGTATGTGTGCACAACTTTTTCCATATTCGTCTGCACCAATTGCAGTGGCTTGCAGTAAGTATCCAGGATCCAGTAGTTTGACATTTCCCCTCAGGGTGAAGGACAATGTGAAAGGATCTACTTTGAGGAATACTATGACTAAGTGAATTTCATCTTTTGAGCTTTTGTTCCTGAAAGCGTGTCAGTTTGTAGAGATGCATCTACTCGTACCTTTGCACTGCAATTTGTGGACTGCTTGATGCTGTCTTGGATCAAGTGGTTGGCCTGCGAGTGGCATACATCTATTTGATGATGGTCCAGCCATTTACCAAGGGCACTCAATGCTTTGGCTCTTCCGGTCTGCTGTGATCCATGTGTTGAGGCGAGATGAGTAGCATTCCGGGCTTCTGCTGAATGGATTATTGACTTTGGATGGCGACAAAGTAATCAACCAAATTGGCTTTGTGACTGCAGCCGAGAGTTCACTCATCGGATAAAATCAGTGTCTATGGCCAAATTTACTGCGGAGGAAGTTAGAAATTTGCAAGCTGGTGGGAATGAGGTATGGCCCTAAACGAAGGATACAATGTCTTCATGCATCGACATTGTGGTTTGTTATTGCTTCTTGGCATTTACAGGCTTCGGGTGTCTGGTTTGAAACGAGCTGGACTAGGGGTGTAGTCCGTCAAGTTTGTCTCGTACTGGTAGATGAATCTGTTCGATAGGACTTAAAACATTGTGTTGACTTGGTGCCCACGCCCCTATTCTTTTGCAGCGGGGACGTGAAATATTTTTAAAAGATTTTGATCTTCAACGAAATTCTCTGCCAGATAGCAGGTTTGTGAGCATGGTCCTGGATGATGAATTTATGGGTTGCCACAATGTTGATCAGGACTTAGCACGAGGATCGATGGCAGCTTTCTATGAGCAAATACATAGTCCACGCAATTTCATCCCTGGATATCGTTGCTGATCCCGATCAACTTTTGTGTTTTTGCAGCAACCCTGAAAAGTTGCGTGACTTTATAAAGGCCGTGTACGTTGATAGGCGGTACACCGGAGACCGCGCTTTGCCTCCTAAAGGCCGTCAGGTTGGTTTTCTCATGACTTCCGTTTATCATTGGTGTGGTGGAACTCTGGTTTCTGGAAAATGTTTGTGCAGCTTGACTGTAATTCACCGTATGTCTGTGGATGTATCTTACAGGTGTAGAGAACTCAATTCTCATGAAGTAAACAATACTAAAACTCTCGAATTTCATCTTTCTCCAGGGAGACCGAGAAGATAGTTATGGTCGGAATGAACCACGCCCAGATCCCCGCTCAAGCCCTAGAGATTATAGAGCTGGAAATGATACTCGAAGTCCTTCTTATGAAGACCGCTACGATGATCGCCGTGGCGTCGAAAGACGTAGATCTGATACTGATAGGGGTCGATATGATGATCGGAGGTATGACGATCGTGTCGTGAGGTTTGAGGAAAAAAAGAGCCCAGGTCGGTTGGATCCTGATCCCCGGGCCAGATACAATCGGGGACAGTATGATGACCGCCAACATGATGATAGGAGTCGGTACGACGAGCGAGATAGGGATCGACGAAATTCTTATGACGACCGATTTGCAAATGAAAGTCGCCATGACAGGCGAAGATCTGCAGATGATCGTAACTTTAAAGATTTTGATGGTGACAGTCCTCCTGTGCGTCCAGTTTCTGAAATTCTTGGGGACAATATTCCCACCTTGCGTGTAGAAGAGTACCGCAATACAAATGGCCGTGATAGCCGCGATGCTCGCGACGAAGATGACCGATCTTCACTTGGGTCCCCTGCAAGTGTAAGCAGACTCTACCCGTAGTCAATTTCGATAACTCTTGAGTTACCACGGATTTTAAGAGCCTGAGGATTCCTTTGCAAGTCGTCCATGTCAGTTGTAAAAACTTACATCTCTTTTCGGTCCATAGGTTGTCTTTTTTCCAGCTGGGTTGTTTTGCTGTTGTCCCGTGTAATGGACAGCTAACTGAAGTTGGAGGGTTATGTGCGCGGTTGCAGTCTGATCCCCGGAGAGAGATGCGGATACCTAGGCTGGGGTCGTTTGGTAGTGCTAATGGCAGTTCAAATTCTTTGAACTCGGCCGCCATCAAACGGGCGAGCTCTGGGAGCCTTATTGATTTCAATGCGGACCCCGAACCTGCCGCACCTGCACAAGCAGCTCCTCCAGCTGCAGCAGATCCTTTCGGGGTCTCTTCCGCTGCTGCTGCTGCTCCTCAACCCCAACCAGCAGCTGTGTCATCAAGCAGCACAGGATGGGCAGTATTCGACCTGGCTCCTACAGGAACAACACCAGCTCCAGCTGAGGCACCACCAGCTGGGTATCCCGATGTTTTTGGGGCGTCTGCAAATGGAGGCCAATGGGCTGCAAGTGGTTGGCCCCCAAGTCAGCCTCAAGCACCAGCTGCTGCAGCTCCCCCGGTTGATAACTGGGCTTCTTTAATGGGACCAGCGGTGCAACCTCAAGCACCAGCTGCAACGCCTCAGGTTTTTTCAAATTGCCCATCTTTTTTGCACCTTTCTCTTATATTTTGCGAAAATAATGTACCTTTGTGCTTCGTACATCCGCGGGCAGTGCTTTTAATAATCAACATCGATAGTTTTTAACTCATAGCTATTTGTCAGCTTAGTATTCCTTGTGCTGAGAACAGACATACATATCGATCATAGACTTGTGAAGGTAAATTTAGTTAGTTTACTGGTTAATTTGTCAAGGAAAATAGAGTCAATTTATCACTAAGGTAGAGTTCAAAGCTGTCCCGATGCGTATACATGACAGAGCTTGGTGTACACTGTCTGCAGCCATGGAATTCTTTTTCACCAGTAAACAAAGCACCAGTTGCACAGCAACAACCACAATCACAGCCGCAGCAAGGCCTTCCCCCAGTGCAACAAGTACAACCGCAAGCTCAATCTGGTTTGAATCAAGAGCAACCCAACACTTCAGCTGGGTTTTCTGCTGCACCTAACGTGCCTCGCGAGTTGCCAAAGGTACTTACAAAATTTTTCTAGGCACAATACAGAACAGGAATGGAGGTTGTAGATAGAGATGGTTTTTAGTTCTTTCGCGTTTCTGTGGAACTTTGTCGCATTATTTACTTTCTTGAGGCTTCCATTCTGCAGGAGCTATTTGCATCGCCTTTTCCATCAGCAGGTGGATATGGAATGGGTCCACCAATGCCTGGATACCCGCCTCCAGCCATGCCTTATAACCCTATGGTAAGTTCCTTGTGGCGCGAATATGATTTCTCGGGTCAGGAAGTTAGCGGTTATGAGGTCCCTGAAGTTCATCGAAAAGATTCATGACGTCATGGAGAACTTGAAGATCAGTGCTTGTTTGCAAGTGATCGGTGAGGCAGTGTTTGCAAACTAGATGAGTACTACATTTCGGAAGAGTTTTAGTGCTGTCATGTTCTTTAGTTATTTTGGTTTCTTGTATTCGCTATGGTACTGCCACTCCTACAGCGTAAAGCTCTAACGTAAACTTTACCCTAATCCCATTGTGCATTATTTTGGCAGGTATCAATGCCAATGTATCCGCAACAACCGAGAAGCAGAAATCCTTTTGATCTTCCGGCAGAAGCTGCACCATCTATGGGAGGTGGAGCGGTAAGTCTATGGAATGGTAGCAGTTATAAAAAGCTCTTCGTAAGGCATGTCGTGTAGTTTCGGGTCAGATAATCTCAGACTTAGCCTGAATGTCTTCCCTACTGCATTCATATAACACGGGAACTAAAAATGTGCTTTGTACCGTCTTTCAGTTTCCCGGTATGGGGTCACTGCAGGCAGCCTTACCAACCGGACCATTTTCGATGCCTGGCTCCGCTCCACCAACCATGTCTAATCAATGGTCCATGGGCCCTCAACATGCATCTTATCCACAAGGTGGTGCTGCAGGTAGTTGTTTTAGGAATTTTCCCCTGGTTCGTTGTTTTGTTTATAATAAACGTTGAATATATCCCAGTCTGTTCTTTCAAACTCAACATTTTCATTGCATAGTTGATTGCGTTATATCACTCGTGCATTTGTGTATTCAGGGTATTTTTTCATGATTTTGGAAAAAAATCTCAAGGAGGCCCTTATCATTGAATGGGTCGAAGTATCGAAGAAACTATCTCAGGGCTTTAGTTTTGTGGGTATCTAACTACAGAGGGTTGTTTCTCACAGGAGGAAACGCATTTGCTCAACTCTCATCAAACTTCGGAGCTCAATCTGGAATGTAAGTTCGTCTCACTCGTGACACGCATTAGGAGATTATTTTGTTGTAACAGTAGGAAGGTGCAGTTATATTCCTTTGAAGTTGTGATTGACCGTTCAGTCTATAGTAGATCATGCTTATTCCACTTGCATTTTTTGTTTCTTCTCTTGCATGAGTGCGAGATTCAGTCAATCTTTTACAAGCCTTATTTGTTGTCCATTTACAGCATGCGTGTGTGAATTTGCTGACATATTTGAGTATTCCAGGCCGGCTCATTCTGTAGGACCAACTTTGGGACTTTCGAACTCAGGAAATTACAACAACATGCCACTATTTGGTGCTGGCCAATCGTTTATGGGAGCAGGAATGTCAGACTTCACCACTCAAAATTCAGTGCGTCCTGTTGGTGGCAATCCATTCGGGTAGCCAGTAGGATGGCCGACTAATCTTGTGAGATGAGTCTTGAATTTTTTGCAGCCGCCGATACATATATTTGAATTTCATCAAGTTCTAAAGAGGTCATCATATCCGTATGCAAGTAAAGTGGTTCTTGGCACCTAGGCAGTCGTTAACTCGAGGAAGTTCTCAAGTTTGTAGTTTAAAAGATGGACAGTCTCGACCTCTCTCTCTCTCTCAGTGACGGAGTAAAGCTTTCCATCATATTGCTATTCTCGAGAGACTTTTATTCTAGAAAAGTAGCTCGTTGTGGAATGGGTGAGATGTTGGAGTAGATTGTTCCCATATTATTTGATGGTGGCCGTCTCTTTATGTACATTGCAGGGCCTCCTGTTTTGTTGCCTAAACACGTTGCAGAATGTGAATCTTGTTTTCTGCAACTCTGCATGTGTATATGGTTGTAGTGCTTGTCGATGAGTCGAATAATCGTGCAACTATCCTCCAGATATCAGAATTTTTCATCTATCTGGTTACTCGTGCCTTTCTGTGTATGTCTTTTGGCCTATTCTGGATTTCAGAATGCATGGTGCCTTCCTTTTGACCGTGTGCTGATGCAGTTCGTTTGATGTATGATTTAGCGCGGCAATCTTCGCTTTGTCCAAGTTTTTTGTGACCGGACGCTTGAAGTTGTTGGTACATTTGAACTTGCAGTATAATACCTACCGAGCTCTGTGTACCGAGATCTTAGATTGGACGTGAGACTTGATCTGTTGGTGACTTTCAGTTTTCGTCAATCGAAGACATGTTACCATCGAGTGTATAATGTATGGGAAATAATGCTTCCACATATCCCTGTTGTTGTCCTTAAGGTTGTACGAAACGTCAAAGAGCAGATAGGCTTAACTACAACACGAAAAAGGGTCATCTTGTACCGACCTTAGCTCTAACAAGAGTCGTGTTATGACCCAGACGACTGAGGATAAATAAGGTGAGTGTAATTGCTGACTAGAGACCCCCGAACAGGCGCAAACTACCGACCGTAGCAACGTCAAAGGAGGTGATTACGCGTCGCTTCTTGACGAACCAGAGGTAAAGACAGGTGAACAATCCGCTGGAAGCGCACGAGCCGATCATGCGAAGAAATAGCCAATTTTTACAATGCGTGTCTGACTCCTCTTGGCTGTTTCAGCTGCTAGTCCCTCAATAGTCACACCATGATTTCGGGAAGTCCTAAATGGAGCGAATGAATATGTCAACGGATCAAGTCTAATCAGTATCCCCCAAGCCTGTGACTGGCGCTTGTGAGAAGCACTGAAACACCAAGTCATCGTGTGAGACCAGCAAACCGGAAACTCGATCTGGCATTGCAAAGAAAGTCAAAGCGAGGACAAAATTAGTAGCCGAAGACTATCTCTGGATTACCCTTTTCTCCGGGATAATAGTAGTCCCTAGGCCCTGAATACTCGTGTGCTTTCATCTTGTAGGGCTTGAAGGGGTCTTTCTATTTGCTTGCCACCGGGCAATACCGTATTCTCTGGGGAGAGCGAAAGTGCTTACAAAAGCGAGCAGATCATGCAATACACGATAAACATAGTGAATGGGTGGACTAAAACTGCTCTCAACAAGTTCTGTGTGCGAACAGTGTGGACGTCCGCTTCTTGAAACAAATTATACGGAGCAAAGTTTCTGCAGCAAAGGCCAGATTACAGGATTTATCCTCGAGACGCGAGAAAGCGACTCTTTCTTTTCGGCATCCAAAAACACAATGGGGATTATCGCTTATTTCTCGAACAGAAACTCCCGGAATGTAGAAAAGAAATGGACATGATACTTCCGATGAGGCCGACACGTACAGCTCATGCAAAGTCAGCCTCTCCTCAGATTCGAGTGCCTTCATGCATCCATAGCTGGCACCTGATCGCCATAAAACAACATCCTCTCGCTCTCTTAGAATTCCGGCTCCCCCATCTCCTGCCCGGAGAAGAAACAGGAAAAGTCCATAGCCCACACGTCGTAACACCGACTATTGACAAAGAACCTCTCGCTCCCCGCTCCGACCCACAAAATGGTGAGCCGCAAGTTTAAGAAGACGCGAGAAAATGGCGAGACCGAAGGCTAAGCGCCAGGCGAAGCGCAAGCCCCTGCACTCGCTTCGCCCTCTCATGCGTCGGTCGGTTGTTCTAGCCCCAGGCACTGGATCGTGGATGGATGTCGCGTACAGCACGCCCAGCCCCCGGGCCGTGTGGATGTGCTACCGGGAGACCGTGGGAAGCATGCGTTACGCTGGCCCAACAACCGTAGATTCAAAGAATGCGGGGCTTCGCTGGGGCAAGGGAGGAAGACGCTACGCCTCGTAGCGCTACGCAGTGGTAGGTACAGGACGGGGCAGGCAGTAGCTGGCTGGGGAATGTGCATGACGTAAATTTGGCCCCTGATGTGCGGAGAGGGGGAAAGGACTGTGGGTCGATAACACTGGCCCCCACAGACTGACGGACTGACTGCGCTTTGTATCCGAGGGACGACGGCGCCAGTCGACGGAGATCCGACGGAGGGAGGCCGATTCTGGGAGTGGGCTTGGACAGCCTTTGATCGAAACGCTTAATCGTCGCGGTGAAAACGCTCGACGATTCGATGCATTGGTGACGAGCGCGTGGTAAATTCATGGGTGCTTGACGGTTTAACCCGGTGCAAGACGAGCGATGGACTCGTAGGCTTGGGTTATTGATGAGTCGGGGAATCGATGGGCCTAAATTAAGTCAAATCCCCCAGCCCCCAGCCCCCAGGTGTGCAGGGCTTGCACACCTGGGGGCTTGGGGCTTGGGGCTGGGGCTTGGGCGAAGAAGGATGACGGACACGAGGAAAGCAGAGACGGAGAACGAGAGGGAGCAAGAAGCCCCTCGACGCGTCGTGTCTGAGACCAGGCCAGCACAGGACGAGGACGGCGAGCACGAAGACGAAGACGAAGACGAGGGCGGGGAAGGGAGATGTAGCATGGAAGCGAGCTCGCCGTCGTCCGTGGGAGATTGAATCGTGGAATTTCTGGCTCGCACGCTGTCCCGCACCGTGTGTCTTTCGCTCGAGGCTTTAGGTCTGCTTTAGGTGCGCGGCTTCGCCCGGATTTGGGATTTTCTGGAGGATTGCGGCAGGTTGTGGGTATGGCGATGGCTGCATGCTGCAGCATCAGCAGTAGTGCTGCAGCTGGCGCTCTTAGAGCTTCCCAATTGCAAGCAAGCAGGGGTAGAAATCGGCTCAGCGAGAGGAGATCGGGCGATATTTGCGTGGGCAGAGGAGGGAATTCGAGAAGATTTCGAGATTTCGAGATGTTTAAGGGTAGCCAAAGCGGCAGCAGCAGTATTGACTCGGTCTCAATTAGGGCTTCTGCGGGCGGAGATGGCGAGGACGAGACCGAGAGGCCGCGGACGATGTCTTCTTCCAAGAAGAGACCCAAGTCCATGTCCTCCGTTGTCGACAGGCCCGCAGTGCTGAGCGAGAAGCGTGCCGGGCCGAAAGAAAAAGCTCGGAGCTCCAACCTAATTTCTGCTCTTGTGGACGATTTGGCGGGATTCATGGCCCCACGCGAGAAAGGCGACATTCGGGACGTGGTGCTCATGAGCCTAAGCTTCGCAGTCTTAATCTACATATCGCAGCACCTCGTACACGCCTACTGCGCTCTCAGACACACTTTACAACCCTTCCACCACTTCTGACGAGTCCGATTCTGCTCAATTGACAGTGAATGTCCTGGCCCTGAGGTCTGGTCTAGCTCTAGATCTGTCCTGTTCTGTACTGTCACTCTGCTCAGCTCTGCTCTGCGCGCAGCTCTTAGACTCTCGTGCTGCTCTGTACATTAGTAGTCCGTTTGTAACTGTATAGAAAGAGCAACTCTTTCCAAACTGATTCCATGTTCCGAAATTGGACCATTTGTATCTTTAAAGGCATTCATCAATTTTATATCTAGTTCGATTATTCTGTCGAAATTCGCAGCATCTCTCGTCGCTTCTTCGTTTTAATTCAAATTTCCCGTCGAGATCTACCCATTCAACTCCACCGAACATTCGTTCCTGCTGTTTCGAGGGCTAACAAGCTCAGGACATGGACATGTTGCTCTTTGCTGAAAATCAACTCTTGGCTGAACTGCGGTGGGATGTTTCCTCAGTTCACGTCACTGACACTTCCGTCCTGACTCAGAGGATCCACATCCGGTTGATAGCATCGCTGGTAGTTCTCTCTAGCTGTGATGTATGATATCAGCGTAGTCAATAAAGAGTTCGGTGTGACTGCCCTGGCGATGGAGGTAATCCCTCGGATACCCGGCAATTCTCCGGGTGGCTGTGTGCAACTTGGGGAGGGAGGTGGAGAAGAGACTGCTGGTTGCTCAAGGGATCAAGCGAGTTGTAGCATTTATCTGTGGACGTGCGGTTGCATGACTCGCTTGGACACGGTCAACGAGCTAACAATCTGACTGGATCTATTGATCCCTCAGCTGTTGGAGAGTTTTGGATTCAGAGAACGTCGTGGAGCTCAAGGTCTTGACTAATTCCAGGTATCTCACTGCATAGAGTTATAGAGGCCATGTGTCCTACAAATCTGCCCACGGAAATTTCTTAATAGATATGCATGATTTAGGTGAGCAAGTATTCTCGGCAGGTGCTCGATGGAGAGGATTGAAAGAACACCTCTTCAAAGCTCGAACTCGGTCGAGAACATCAGACGGTGAAAAACCTAATGAGGATCATAAAGGGAGGAAGTATGAGATATTTGTCCACGTGCTTCGAATGCAAAAGCTGAACCTCGAGAGGTTTTCAATTCAGGAACAACCCTACTCGTATAACTCGTACCATCAGGTCGTCTTCAAATTATTAAGTCAGCTCCCTTCCGTCCATCTCTCAGTCAATTTTTCGACTCCTCCATCACGAGGGACGAGGATCTCGTAAATAGGCAAGTCTGTCGCTGCCGCATGATGCCAGTGCATGCAAAGGCAGGAGTATGTCTGTCCTGTGACACAAGGAGACACACTAAGTCCCAAGGCTCGTACTCCCTCATGGAAAGAGAAAAGCTGTTTCCCCGTCCCAAACGACCTTCGAAAGGGAGGTCAACCTGTCGGGTTGACGACTTTCCCAGGCCTTCGTTCTTATCTGCACACGTAGCACAGCAGACTGAAAAATTGTCTGCTCTCCCCTCTGTCAAGTATTAATACCCCAACGAGTCATCTCATCCCAAGTACAACCTCCATGCTAATTCTCAACTGAGCTGGGCAGGACTGACCTGAGACTGAACTCCACTTTGAACTAAACGCTTCCGATCTGAACTCATCTCAAATTCTGGGCTTGAACTGAATCAATCCCTTGGAACTCCACGCTACTATGGCGTCTTCAGCCACACCCAAACGGTAGGAGGCCCAGCAGTTTCAGTTCTTGAGCTTTAGCAGGACATGCAAAACAGAGTGACAAACAGTTTGGATCCAACCGTGAGAGCATCCATGGGCAACAGTCTCAGATTTATGTACTGCTCCCATGTGTTGATCTGCCACTGCTGTCACAAGCTTTTTATGCTCCAGCACGGAGGAATAAACTTCGTGAGAATATTGGACCTCGTTCACGCGAGGGAGGGTGAGGAGGACGAGGAAGAGCGAGAGAGAAGTCGTATTAAAGTGGAATGCCATGGAATGGAACAAATATCTTGCAGAAGCTCTTGCAGGCATCTATTTTGATATGCGGGGCGGCTGTCCTCGGCAAGTCATTCGGATCTCTCTCCCTCTCTCTCTCTGCGGGGACTAAGTGGTTTCATGTGGATGTCTCCATCATCGTGGTCGGAGTCGCAGAACGCAGACGAGTACGAGGAGCGGAGGACTGTGCAGTCGAACACGAACAGAACACAAGACGAAACCTTGCGCTCCGTGTCAGTCAGACTCTGAAGATGTTGTCAGCATTTGTCAGCATTGCTAAATGTGACTCATACGTTCCTTTGTGCCTTGTCACCCAAGGAAGTCAAGCGATCCTTAGTATTACGATTCGACCTAAAAATATCGAAGATTTTCAGTCTGTACGGACCCGAGCTCAACCAGCAGATTCGTACTCTCCCTCCTCCTCCATCTCCATCTTCTCACAGCACATTGCCAACTTAAAAGAGCAACATAAAAACAAATGTTTCCCTGGCAATTCAAAGAGCTAAAAACATTTTCTTTCAGATAACTTACTATTCGTGATCTATGAACATGCTATCAACTGATCAAATATCTGTCACCAATAAATTCTACATGTAAGTGATGGCTAAATTCGTTGAGGATAAAAAAAAAAGGAAAAAAAGAAGAAATTTGAGATACACGTTTTTATTTTGGTGAGAGAATCCACAGAAAGGATCCCCAGCCCAGCTAAGTAGGATGAGAACGATGTCAGAGAGGGAGAGAGAAATCTCTAGTTCGAGGAGAGGAAGAAAAAGGGGGAGAGAAGAGTTGGAGAATGAGAGGGGCTAAGAAGAAAGAAGAAAGAAGAAAGCGAAAGCGAATGCAGGTCTAGCCGGAGTCCGGAGGAGGACGGGGCGGGGGGAAAGGCTGGCAGGAACACATGTTGGAGCAGGGCACGGGCCGTGCCATGGCATGGCATGGCATGGCACGGCACGGCCTGACATTGTGCCGATTGGCCATGCCAGCACAGGCCAGGCCATGTGCCATGCGCATCGCAGCATCTCCCCATTGACATCCAGATGCACAGTTGACTCTTCGGACTGAGCACTTGCTATATAAAAACATTCCTCCTCCACGTTTCCGAATCCGTCATTCAAATCCCCCGAGGCCCTCTCGTCCTCGAGCCCCATGGCCCCCAGTGGTGCTTACAGCCCCGCACCGTGCCGAACATCTTCTCTAACTCCCCCCTCCCTTACCATGCCTAAGCCCAGCCCCGTACCGTGCCGAACATCTTCTCTAACTCCCCTCCCCTCTCCTACCATGCCTAAGTCCAGCCCCTGCATTGCACATCCCAGGTTCGCTAACGAAGCCCCCTCACCCCCTCCCTCTTCCTCTTCTTCCCCGCTCCGCCAACTGGGCCTTGCCTCGTACGCAAGTCAAAGGTAGCCCAGGACTGCCACTCTCCTCGTAAGCGTGACCGACACAGCTCTGGACGGCACAGTCGCGGTGGGACTGGGGCTGGGACTGGGGCTGGGACTGTGGATTGGCATGTCGGGAAGCAACCGAGTGAAGAAGAAGAACAAGAGGACGAGGAAACAAAGACCTGGCCGACTGACTGACGGACTGATTGGATCGACTGTGATGTTACTGGGATAGCCGCTGAGAATCACTAAAGCGAAAACAACAACTGGGCTTATCGTACGACGAGAAATCGCGATTAGTCCAGCTGGGCAACGCGAGGCTTGAGACCGGGAGCCCCCCCTCTGCCTCTGCCTCGGCCTGGCGTCATGTGGACCTGCGAATCGAGAACAACGCGAGCACTCATTCGCGCATGTTTACCCCCGCGAGGTGGCAAAACTGGAGCTCCCGAACAACAGTATCCAGAACGCCGATTCCCTTGCTTTTTCGTTCTTTTCGCTGGGCTCGAATGTAAGTTCTAGCTGGCTACAGTAGATCCACTTTGACTTGGGGCGCGGTGCGACTCGAGGCCGGTGGCGCCTGGGGCTCGATTTTGGTCGATCGCATGGTCCAAGCGAGGGGCTTAGAGAAAGAGGAAAGGTGCCCTGACGTCACCCCGGGGCTCCGAACGGCGACAGCAGTAGGCCCCAAGCTCCTCCGACTTTAAGAGCGGTCTCGGTAGAGACACAGTCGGTCAAACTCAACCATGTGCCGAAAGACCGCATTACTGCGTTGCTTTCTTTACCCCCACCCCTGCCCCCTGCCCCCGGGGGGGTGGGGCAATGCCGAGAAGGGGCGAGACGAGAAGGCTGGACGGAACGGACTACCCCCAGTGGCTGCCCCCGTCCGTCCGTCCCTGGCTGCATAAAGATGGGGCAAGGACGTAACGACTCACGACAGTAAATGTGGTTCAGTGCCTGCCGTGAGAGAGTACTGCCGATGGCAAATGGCATCCGTCACGTCAGTCTGTCCGTCATAAACTAGTCCCCATTTTAAGCCCCGACGCCATTCGCTCTGATGCATCAAAGACAGCGAGCGAGCGAGCGAGCGGTCGAAAAGCAGATTTCGCAGTAGAATCCAATTCGATAAGCCGATGCGAGCGAGCGAGTGAGTGAGTAAGTCAAGAGTCCGATGTCCGTCCGCTAAGAGTCAACTGTACATCTGGATGGCATGGAAAACAGTTAAGATTCCTCCTCGTCCTCATGCTCGCTCGTAACTCTTCGCCAGTACCGAAAGCTGTATGGGCTGCGCTCCGTAGCCTTGAGAAACCAATCATCTGTATGTACGTAATCTTCTTCCCTTCCCTTACAGGATGCTTCACTAATGGTCCAACTTCTTTCGTCGCCAGTGGGTACGTTCCTCTCTCTCTCCCTCTCTCTCTCGACTTAACGAACAGCTTGAGAGGGCTCCATGCTTCCGAAGGTTTGGTTGAGATTTCATCCGTATTCGAAGCGAATGATTCGAGCTGGATTCGAGCTCAGAAAGGCACATATGTTAACCCAAGCCCGCGGAGGGAATCATGGAGCTCGGAAGCAACCGACCCGAGAAGGTGGGCATCCGCTTGCATGTGTGGAATACTCGACCGAGAAACGAGTCTCTCTCTACAGATGAAGGAGGGTGGATGCCCATTGAGGCTCCACCGAATGGCCACACGGACTTGACTCGAGGGAGGAGGTCTAGACGCACATGTATGTGGTCAGAGCGAAAAATGGATCAGATGCAAAACAAATGTGGGCGGCCGTAAATGGTCGATCTTCTTTCCACTCAAAGTTGCATACTAATGGAGTTTTCCAAAGTGACTCCGATACTTGCCATACATGGATCCTTCCTCGTAAATCAAATCGAATTTCGGTTATTGAAATTGCTCTCATGGAATTTACGGGGAGTGAATTTTCTCGTCGGTCTCGCAACATGCATGGATGGAGTGATGATTATCAATCTTCTTGATGAGTCCGAAGTGAT